TTTCTAGTCCTCAGATTTATTTTTCATATATAAAATGAACATTGTTGCAGTCCAGCTCTAAGTCATCATTGATTCACTGGAATTTTTTTAAATGGAGCACATTGCTGTATTTGAGGAGTGTTACACATGTTCACAATCTGTGTACTATGGCTTATGGATATGCTGCTACGTAGGACTCAGTTCCCTAGAATTCAATTCCCAAGAATCTTGGAGCTGAGAGTTCTCATATGTTGTGAGATTTCCTCTAGTTGGCTCTTATTTTCAGATCTCGGGTCCAGAGTAAACTAGAGGATGGTGTACATACAGACACTTCTAGTGCTTCCATCAATTACCATTTAAACAAAACGCTAGTTTAAAAAGGATTATATATAGTCATTTACCTTTTACTAATTTATCCTTTCCTAGTGATCTCCTGGGCAGTTGCAAATCAAAGGAAAAGTCATGAGATCTGGTCTGCAGACCTGGATCTGGGAATTCCACTTCAGACCTTCACTCAGGAAGTGCTACATTGTTAACCACAAGGGCAGGACAGGAAAGAGGGTCAACTTTGTTCTTTCCAGGCTGACTTCTTTATTTGGCTTAAAGAATGAAACTATACAACAACAAACACCCAGTTTGTTCCCTTCTGTCTCCTTGGTGGGATATAGTGGCTGGTTTACTGTTTTTTTTTTTCTGTTGTTCAAGCTTTTGAACCAGGTTGTCTGTGAGTCATGTGGATATGGAAAACTTAAACTTCTGTCCTCATTACCTTGCTAATGTAATTGTAACCCCTCTGTATGGTATTTTCACAATAAAAAAGTATTAATATTAAAAAAAAGCTCTGGAGAAAATAGGAATAGAAGGAACATTCCTTAAAACAATAAAAGCTGTATAGGACAGAGCAATAGCCAATATTATACTTTTTTTGGGGGGGGATCCAGTCGTGGGGCCTGAACTTGGCCTGGGCACTGTCCCTCAGCTCTCCAGCTCAAATCTAGTGCTCTACCACTTGAGCCACAGCATCACTTCCAGCTTTTTTTTTTTTTTTTTGCTTATGTGGTGCTGAGGAATCGAACCCAGGACTTCAGGCATGCAAAGCAAGTGCTCTACCACTGAGCCATCTTCCCAGCCCCACCAATATTATACTTAATGGGAAAAAAACAACAACCAATTCTCCTAAAACCAGGAACAAGGCAAGGATGCCCACTTTCACCACTCTTCTTCAATATAGTTCTGGAATCCTTAGCCAAAGCAGTAAGGCAAGAAAAAGACATTAAAGGGAAGGAAGAAGTTAAACTATCCCTCTCTGCAGATGACATGATATACCTCAATGTTCCCCAAAACTCTACCCCCAAACTCTCAGAACTTATAACCTATGCTGCTGACCACATATATGGCACATATATGCATATATATGCACATCTGAGGGAAACTAGGAGGAGAAGGACAAAGAATCAGAGGGAAACAGGAAAACATACAAAAGAGGGGCCCATCAGCTGCACTGGACATTGATGAAAGCAAACTAAGAAAGTCAAGGCCAGCAATGGGAGGGAGGGACTGACAGGGATAGAGGGAACAGGTGACCCTAAGCAGAAGGAAAGAAATATACATACCACCCCATGTGGAAGAAATAGCTGTATTGTCAAAGCTTATAGAGTTCACAAATTTTATACACCACGATAATGGCAATTTGCCTCATGAAGGTTAGAATGTGTCTGTGACTTTAACTAAGTATCATTATCTCACAATACTGTGAAATTTATGTAATCAATCACAATAAATTTTTTTAAAGATGCTTTTTACTGTGTCCTATAAATTAAGTAAAAGTCTATCAGCTCTGTGCCCTTTGATCTGAGATATCCTTTCCTGCAATTGCTTTGCAACCACCTGTTTTCAGGAGAAAAGACAATTGATAGCCAGATAGCCATGTTATCTGGAAGGAAACTGCCCCTCAGACAATGTTTTCTTATCATCTTTAACAGCACCCAAAACTCAGGAGACTCTCTGGTTCTTGTTCTTCCCAGAACTCCTCCAGAAACAAAGACTGACCTAATGGTCAACTAGGCCATACCTGTGGCTTGGGACTACTTCCCTAGTGCATACCTTCCTCATTCCCTACCCCTAATTCTTCCTGTTTAACCTATAGCCAATGTCGGTACCTTTGAACACGGCTGAAGTGCTGTCTTCCCATGGCTACCATGTAATTAATCTTCTTTCTCTGTCCAGTAGTAGGTCTTAACTCAGGATTCTTGGACTTTGGGCCTGGGGTCTAAAAATCTCGTTTTACATTCATTTGAGGAATACAAAATGAGATGGAAGAGCACTCTACTCTCCCAAGAGTTTCTGAAAACACAGCAGCTTCTCTGAATAATTCTGTCTCTCTAGTTACTTCAAAGATTCCCCACTCAGGTCTAATAGGAGTCCCTTCTCCACCCATGATTGCTGTGAAAGGTAGGCCCAGTTTATCTATGCAGGCCAGCATAATTAAGCAGCTAGGACCAGGCCTGCTTGTTACCTTTCCTCTTGCTCCTCCTCCTTCTCTACTCTACATATGCAGGCCTCCTCTCACTCTGATTGGATCAGAGTGTTTACTGCTTCTGCTCATACTGCAGCATGAGACCTATAAAGACTCTTACACCAGGGCCAGCTGTGCTGACTGCAAAGGCTGCAGCCATGGCTGGAAGCCAGCTTATGACACCAAGGGCAGCAAACAACCAGATTGATGATTTGTCCTGAGTTCCAGAGAGCTTCAGATGCTTCTACTTCTGCTCTGGGGGAGCAAGGAAGAGACCTGCTAACCCGGAATGCTAGCTGCACGTTGCCTATTTTTGCTTTCTATTGGAATTGTAAAAATATCCCTTGGCCAACTGCTAAAAATAGAAGAGCACAAGCACTGTTCAGATTATACTGAATACATATTTTTCCAAATAAAACAAAAGACTTTAATTTTCAGTATAGTTTTCAAATTTCAGTTAAAAAAAATAAAGATTTAGCTGGGCACTGGTGGCGCTTACCTGTAACCCCAGATGAGATCTGAGGATTGCTCTCAAAGCCAGCCCAGGCAGGAAAATCCACGAGACACTTATTTACTCTTTTTCACTACCTTGCAAAGCAGAGCCTGCCTTTCTTGTGGTGCCGAGTGTCAATGCTGGACATCTGCCACGGCAGACATTACCACTGAGCTGCATTCCCAGCCTTGCCTCAAGCATGTTAGTGGAAAAATCCCTCCATCATTGTGCACTGGCTTTTTGTTAAACATATTTAGCAGATATAAAGGTATTCCTTACAATGAGACAAAGAGAAAATAACCCTTCTGTAACTGATATTTCTTGGTATTCTTCAGAAATGTCACACATTTCCTATGTGTCTTAGACATTGATAGCATATGTAGTGATTTCCATTTCAATTTCCTAATCGTGAATTTGCATAGGAGGAAAAGAGCCTATTTCTTCTTGCTGTATGGGAAGGCTTTGCCCCTTCCCACATAACTCTTCTATTGTGGATATTGTGGAATTGTGGATATACTCTCTATTCATTCACCACCACATTCTTATTGAGCTGCCATCTTCCATTAGGCACTAGGTTACCAGAAGCCACTGAAAGGTAAATCAAATGCAAAAGGAGAATAAATTAAACAAGGTTTTCTTTTTCCCATAGGGTTACCATAAAGCCCTGGCTAAATAGAAATTGAAAAAAAAATAATATGGATGACATTTCAGTTTCTGCAGCGAGGAGGAGGCAAATTAAAATTTGATGATCTTTTATAAGGTCTTAAGGGGTAAGAGTCATTTCCTGAGCCCTGGGAAATTTGTCATACTAAAGATAGATTCTTGATAAGAAGAGATTTTTTTTTGGTGCAAACACTCATAGAGACACACTTGTGTTTCAGAGGTACATGCTGGAAAAGGAGGCCTGGCAACCACTAACACTTTCTTCTTTCCTGATGCATTTTAACATCTCTCAGTGTGGGTTGGATCATGTACAGAATGAGTTTACATGTGTCCTCAATAGTTTCGGGAAAGGTCATATGGATGCAAAGAGGAGGCAATATTCATCAAGTACAACCAAGAAGATATCTCTGTTTCAGTCAGTCTACTATCTCTTATATATTAGTACCCTGTTTATTCAAATTGAATATAGAACATGACCGTATGTATTAAGTGCAATAAAATATTCAAATAAAGAGAGGAGCAAAAACAAAAGTGAAAATAATATATTTTGATGACCCTAAATCAGCATTCTGTAAACGTATCTGTTATGACTAAAGACTGTATTCTAATTTTATTTTAATTGGGCTTAAGCTTTGTAATAAACTTCAAAAAAAGAAGCCTGGTTAATTGCACAATTGATAATGTGCTGAATGAGGAAAAGAATTGCCAGGGCACCTAAATTTTTTCTGGTTTCCAACCACAATCCTCAGTTCTCAGCCTCTTGAGTAGCTAGAATTAGAACCATGAACCACTGGTGCCCGCTACACTGACTTTTTAACACTTCTCTTAAAGTAAAACTCTCATCTATCTGCCATTTGAGTATTTACTACAAAATAATTAAAAGTGAACTTAATTAGTAGGTGTGGTGACCCATGTCCCAGAAGTACAATGGGTTATATGCTTCCTACATACCAACCCCAATCAAAGTCTTTGAGCTACTTCTACTAAATTTTGTTTTCCATTTCCTTCATAAAGACTCATTCTTAGAATTTTGCATATGAAGAAAAATAGGCCTGTGTCTGAGCTTAAATAAGTGAATTTATACTATTAGAAGTAAATACAATTGTATTACTCAACTAGCATTTCTTTTTCCTTACAGCATGCTATTAAGGTATGTTTGTACTGTATCATAGCTCTAATAAGCTATTCTGATTATTGGGTCATTTTCTTACATCCATCCAGCATATTTTGCTTATCATATATAATTGGCTCTAATCTCTCCATCTTAAAAATCTTTGTAAATAACCTAACTCCCTTATTGGCTTTACCTGGATTCCTCTGTAAAGCATATGATAGGATCTTAGTACTGAGACCCAGGTATAAAAATGTTTTTACCCATGACTGTGAAGTTGCCTTCCCAAAGAGATTCCCAATCTACAACTCTATATATGTAAGGTTTTAGCCTAACCTAAGCAGAATGGCTATATCCAACTTCCTAGTGGAATGGATTTAAAGTGAGAACTCATTCTATTTTGCATTTGTCTGATTCCTAATAAGGTTGAACACATCCTTGTGTAGTTGTCCAGCCTCTGAGTTTCCTTTCTTAAAGGGAAACTTTAACTTTTAACTATTTAAACTTTAACTGTTTGACAGTTTTAATTTTTATTTAACTTTTAACTGTTTAAACTTTTATGTTTTCATCTAATGGCTAATATACTTTGTTCATTATCTACTTCTCACCTAGAGTAATGTATTTTTTATAGCTTAATAAAAATGTATAGTTCAAGTTATTAGACTATACTGTTAATATGATAACTTAAGGAGTCCTTCATTTTTACATAAAGAAGTCTCACATTTTTTCCTCATTGATTTGGGGGTCTTTTTTGTGTTTTGCAGTACTGGGGCTTGAACTCAGGACCTGTGCCTTTTCCCTGAGCTTTCATGCTCAAGGCTACCACTCTAGCACTTTAAACATAGCTCCAGTTCTGGCTGTTGTTGGAAGGGGAGTATTTAATTGGAGGTAAGAGTCTCATAAAATGTCTAGCTCTGTCTGGCTTTGAACTGTGATCCTCAGATCTCAACTTCATGAGGATCTAGGATTACAGGCCTGAGTCACCAACACCTACTGGGTTTTGAGGTCTTGAAGGGATATTCATACAGTCAGAAAATTCTTATTTATTGAACTTCACTTTTGAATTTTTCTTTTTTTTAACTTTTGACTTTTTTATTTAACATATGTTAAGAGCAAATTGTTATGAAGCCCTTGGGTATTTTTGATAATATGAGCCAGTTTTCTAACCTTCTCTATTAAATACATAATTTTTACTTATTAGTTCATAATGTCACTGATATAGTTCAAATTCACATATATGTGTGTCTGGTTTTGAACTCCTAATCTTCATGTCAATAGATGATATATGAAACACAACAATTTTTATCATTATGTCTTATCAATATGTGTTCATATCTAGTACAACAACAACAACAACAACTCATTTTTATGTTTTTATTTTCTCACATCCATTAAGGTGATTTTGATGCACCTTTGTTTTCCAGAAAATATTAGAAGAAGTTTGCTAACTTTCTGAGGGGAAGAAAAAGGAGAAAGTCCCATTGAAATTTAACTGGAAGTGTGTTGTGTTTTACTGGCTTGGAAAGAGCTGACATATTTATAGTACTCACAGCCAGATAACTCTCCATTTATTCATCTTTCCCTTATGTACATTAGTAGTTCCTCAAAATTTCTAAAAACTACTTATTGCCCCTATTAGTGTATGATTTTGTAGAGACAATGAACACAATCTTGGGATCCACTGTATTTCTTAGTTGATTACGGTTTTACTATGTTTTGGTTTATGTTTCTCTGAAAGACAAACCAAGACAAGGACTCACTAAGATGTTTTACTTAGGAATTGTATTAGGAAACTAAAGTATGAAGCAGAGACAGGAAAAGACTCTCCAGGATTCAGGTTGTTGCCTAAGTTGCTACTGTAGGCAGCAGTCCTCCTCTGAATGCTTTCCTTGGCATGTTGTCATCTACCTCCACAGATCTGAATTGATTGTTGATTGGTCAGGTCTCCATGAGGGGCAGGATCCTACTAAGAGCATCAGCCCTGCTAACAGCTCAAACAAGCATTGGCAGTGACTGTTAGATCAGTCTCTATGATAGCGGAAACTGTGGGAAGACCCATTAATAACCTCCAACCCCATCACCTTGGTGATTCTGTTATGAAACCCTTTGAACAGTACTGGAGAAACCAAAAGACATCTCAAATAAGTAATGATACTTTTCAAATGTGTACAGGTGCTATGCTAGTTAAAAATCCTTCACATCTAAAGATTGAGGAGGATGGCTTCAAAGACAGGGAGAGAGGGGTATTTAATTTTGTCTTCAATGTCTCTCTCCTAATTCTCAATTTTTCTTTCCTTTTTTATCTTCTCTTCTTCTCCAATATACTAAGGGGTCTTCCACCAGCAGCCTTTCCTAACAGCAGATAAAGAGCAACTGGACTATAAATAGCAACTAGCATTTCTTCTTCAACAATTATTCCTGTGGCTTCTTTTAAGCCATATTATTTGGTCTCCACTATACAGATTAGTTCTAATGGCAAAGAAAATAAAAAAGAGATTTATAAAAACACATATATGTATATATATATATACATATATATATACATATAAGAAGATATACATATTCTTTTTTTTTCTTGTGCCAGTACCAGAATGTGAACTCAACTTCTTTTTGGGGTCTTTGTTCAGCTGCTGCTTTACCATTTGAAACATGTTTCCAGCCCACATGTATTCATATTGATAGGAGAAAATTCTACAAGCTAACAATTTCTTTATTTACCTTACAGAAAACAATGTACCATTTTAATTTAAAAATAGGCAAGATAGTAAATTCATTTATGTTATTTCTTAACAAAATTAAATTAAAATACATAAAAGGTGATTAATATACAAAAAGAAGGTAATACAAATAAATCTATTTGGAAGCTAGCTTAGAAATTTTTTTAAATAGGCATTACAATTTCTGGGTATTTTTATAAAGTATTAGATATATAAAATACAGATATATTTTTCTTTCTATGTATAATAAGCATGTATGAAGGGCACTATGAGTAAAATAGCTATATTAAAGATCAGTGAATATACTCAAAATAGAAAAAAATAGATTTACTTTGATGTTCACACAGCAAGCAGGAAAGCCAGTATTTTATGATTTGCATCCTAATAAAAATGAGTCCTTATTGGGTGTTTGTGGCTCATGCTTATAACTCTAGCTACTCAGGGTGCTAGTTTGCAGCTAGCTCAGACAGAAAATTCCACAAGATCCCATCTCCAATTAAGCAAAACCTTGGGTGGAAGCCTGGCTCAAGTGGTAGAGTGCTAACTGAGCAAGTAGGAAGTTAGTAGTGTTCAAACATAAAAATAAAGTCATGACCCAGAATGATGTTGCAATACTCTGACAAGGCACTTACTGACAGATGGGTCATTTACGACACATCAAAGCAAAGTTCTTGTGATTGCCCAAGTTCTTTAACTTCTGACAGTATTTGCTTTTAAAAGATAGAGTAGTATTGGGGCTAGGAATGTGGCTTAGTGGTAGAGTGCATGCCTAGCATGAATGAAGCTCTGGGCATAATTCCTCAGTACCACATAAGCAGAAAAAACCAGAAGTGGTGTTATGGCTCAAGTGGTAGAGTGCTAGCCTTGAACAAATTAAGCATAGAATAGCCCACAGGCCCTGAGTTCAAACTCTAAGACTGGTACACAGAAAAATAGAATGGAGTAATATGTTTTCCTGAGGTGGATCCTGAGCAAAAAAAATGAGTGTCAGTGGAAACTTGATGGACTATGAACTGACTGTACAACTTAATAAACAACAATATCCCGTTAATGTCTTAGCTTTGACCAATGGATCTTAGAATGTAAAATGTTAACAGTAAGAAAATCTGAACAAAGGACACATGGACCTTTCTATACTAACTTTGCAACTTTCTTGTTGATTAAAATTAAAAATATTTCAAAAATTAGATTGTAGCTAAAACCATGAAACTGAGCTGAATTGATGCTCTGATAATTACAAAAGAGAGGAAATCACAAGGGTCCATTCAGAAACAGCCCCTGAAGTCAGAAGAAGCAGTGATTGGAAGGTGGTGAGAAGCTTCCAGGTCTACTGATAAGATCTACTTCTGGACTAGGGGTTGGTACATAGGTGTCTTTATTTTATGGAAATTTGCCAAACTGTACTTTATGCTACATTGTTCTCAATTGATAAAGTAAGTATTCAGTAATACTTATTGATTCTCTATTATGGCAAAGATTAGAATGAAGATGTAAATAAGTTGTGCAAGTGTATGAGGGAGCTGGTTATTACAGTATATTTATATGTATAATTCATTTGTCATGATATATTTTATGCTTCTGTTAAAGTAATTTTACTGAACCACAGTGTGATGGTAGCTGAACAAAATGCCAACAAAAATGCATCACTAGATACTTACAATAAATCCAAGTAATCCTTTTTAATATGAGGGGGCTTCATAGACATTAAAAGTATTTAAGAGTATTTTTTAAGAAATAACAATTTTAGGTATGCAATTGTGAGGAAGATAATCATCATGCAAGCCAACGCCAAGTGGTTTTTCCATAAACCCCAAGGTGAGAGTTCGATGCCCTGATTGATCAAGTAGTCTTCACCACTGCATCTGCAAATCATCACAAAAAGAACAGAACTCATTTCCAGTATCGGTCGAATTTTATCCTGAATAGTCACTGTTCCTTTGTTAAAGAACACTGTTGGTAAACCAAATCATTAAAGAATTATCCCTTCATATGCCATAGCTAACACTCAGTGAGTTTACAATTTGGCTAAATATTATACTAAGCAATTTGCATCTAAGTAGTTTAAACTCCTCTCTAATTCCACCCTGTTCTAAGAGCAGAAGCATTTATGAAGTAACTTTTCACTCACTCCTGATGCCGAAAACATCAGCCTTAAACTGTGATGACTAGAGATCATCTGGGCTCTTTGTAGTTCTGCTCACCCACAAGACAGACATCCAAAGAACACAGGCTGCATTGTACACCAGGCACAGAGGGAGCAAGGCTTCCTGACACAGGCACATTCTGTCAGCTCTTGCACCAAGACTGCCATGAGTACGGCAGACACTGGGCTACAAGATGTCACCAGCAGCTCAGGAATCAGCTTAAACCTTACACAGAAGCTGGAGCAGAGCGGGCAGGGAAGCCCTGTCAGTGATAGAAAAATACCTAATAATAAAGCTATTTGGTGCAGCTATAATTAGTGCCTGCTACCTTCCTGAGCATCACCTGGGATTTAGCAGCAGCAAGGATAGCCATGCTATTAAGAAGCCATTTTCTCTTCCCTTTTTGAGAAAGAGTTTAGGCAAACATGAGGCCAGCGGGAGCTCCTCTTTGTCTGATCCCACTTTTCCTGTCAACTTCCTTCTTACTAGGAGGCTGGCAGGGAATTTCTGTTACAGACATTTCACCCAGATCAAATCAATGGGCATGTACAGGACAAAGAAAGCCTTTCCTTCCAGAGGGCTCCCCTGTCTGTCACTCAACAGAGAAACTGGTTGTATTTCTATTTACTTATGTATTACTTAAATATCCAGGTTCTAGAATACTAGCATTTGTTTTTCTCTTGTTAATTTATGTATTGACCACAATCATTAAAAACCATCAGAGAAATATTAATATGTTCAAGCAAAGTCTTCGAATTCTATTAGCCTACCACATTTGTTCTAATGACATTTTGTACAAATAAAAATTATTTCTCAACTTCCCAAAATATGTGTTTCTGCATATGTGTGTGTAGGGGGATATTGGTACTTAAACTCAAGACCTGGGCACTGTCCTCTAGCTTTTTTGCCCAAGACTGGTGCTCTACCACTTGAGCCAAAGCTCTACCTTTGTTTTCTTTTTGCTGGGTAATTAGAGATAAGAGTCTCAGACTTTACTACCTGAGCTAGCTTTGAATCAACATTTTTAGATCTCAGCTTCCTGAGAAACTAGGATAAGTGAGCCACTTGCACTAAGGTGAATATGTATTTCTTACACACACACACACACACACACACACACACACACTGTGATGGTGGCTCATGCTTGTAATCTTAGATACTTAGGAGGCTTACTTCTACAGATCACAGTTCAAAGCCAGTCTTGGCAGGAAAGTCAGAGACTCTTACCTCCATTTAACTAACAAAAGGCCAAAATGAAGCTGTGTCTCAGTGCTAGAGCACTATCCTTGAGCACAAAAACTCAGAGAAAACACCCAGGCCCAGAGTTCAAGTCCTAGGATTAGCACCCATACACACACACACACAAAACTCTTTCAAGAAGCCCCAAACAAATAACTCATAGGAAAAAATTTCCACATTAAACATAAGCCTGACTGTAACAGAACAATATGTTGTACATGTTCACATGCATTAGTGAGCAATTACCTTTATAGATGGAAAAACAGGCTCCGAAAATGACATGTACCAACTCTGTTTCTTATAGCCTTTCTAAATCACCCCATGATAAGTAGCAAGCCTATCAGGACATCAAATGCATACTTACATTGTATAGTCATTATTACAGGTGCTATTGTTCTGTGTTGTATTTAGTCCTGGACAGAAGTTTTGTCCCATAAATTCATTATGCTGCAAAGCCTGTAACTCAAAATGGACCAGAGACAGGTAAATAGTTTGAACTTTCCAAAAGTTTCCAAAGAATATTTGTTATATTCTCTAATTTGACCTTGTTACTTCTAAACACATGCCAACGTTCACATTTGCTGTTTTTACTTCAGCAAAGCAGCTAGGGTTATTTTTCCTAGCAATGCAGAGACACAGAGCTGGGATGTTTCTTATACTGGCAAAGAAGAGAGGCCTCTGGCTAGATCTGTACAAAGCTCCCTTCTTCCTCCAACCATATTATATATTCCTATAAACACTAAAAATGAGATGATGTTGACTTAAGGCAACAATTTTTACATGTTTGTCTTCAATGAAAGTAGTTATAATTATGAGAGTTAGAAACTCAATTAATTGTATAAAGACACAGATGGTATTCTTTGGAGGTGAATAACTTTCAAAAGCCTATTTTTTCCTTCTAATTTCTCTTTTGATAAAAACTGCATCACTCTCTCATTTATTTCCCTTTGAGTGGAAATTTCTCCCCAACTTTTCCTCCCAAACAATAGTGTAATCAAGGAAAATGCCACGTGAGCCCCTGACCTTGTGCTAACCAAAGCTGAGGTAGAATGGATGGGAGCTATTCACACAGCTACACTTTAGTCTGGATGTTCCCAGAAGGGAATCAGTCTCAGGGACCATGTGGACTGCCTACCGTAAAGCCGTATCGAGGAATGCTGAGGTACTGAAGCCATGACAGCCAAGATGCAATGGTTCTGAGATTCACCAAGAGACCAGAAAAAATCTACAATAGTAAAAGATACGCATCAGAGTCCAGTCCAGCAGTTGCATGAGAAATTCCAAATAAGACTCTCTTCAAGAATCCTATGTGTAGAAAGGTTCACGTGTATGTATTCATTACATGCATGATGATGTCAAGTCCAGTCTGAGCTATATTGAAACACTGAAAAAGTAAAGTAAAAAGAAAAAGAATTCTACATCTTTTTAAACAAGTCAACTCTCAGCAACTCCAATTATTCTTTTTGTGTGTGTCAGTACTGGGGCTTGAACTCAGGGCCTGGGTGTGGTCCCTTAGCATTTTCCCTCAAATCGTGCTCTACCACTTAAGTCACTTCTGGCTTGTTTCTGGTTAGCTGGAAATAAAAGTATTACGGACTTTCCTTCTCAGGATGGCTTTGAATAGCCATTCTCAAATCTCAGCCTCTGGAGTAGCTAAGATTACAGTCATGAGCCACCAGTGCCCAGCTTTCCAAATTATTCTAATCATCCTTCATTGCATATGGATATCTCTATGTAGCTAAGGCTATTTATGGTTTCAGAGAACATTTACCTATACTATAAATTACCAGTTATTTGGAACATCTTTAATCCTCAAGACTATGTCTTGAACTTTAAGCTGTATACAATGAAGAGTCAAGGAGTACAGTTTGTCCTCAGGCCCAAGGGAGCTTACTTAGTTCAGGACCTCCAACACATATGCTAAAATCTTAAGATACACATGTCTCTTATTTCTTAAATATCACTGAATTTGAATATAACCCATTCATACTCTTTACACTTTTTTGTTTTTATTTTTTTTATAATCATTAGATGGTTGTACAAAGGAGTTACCATTCAGCAAAGCAGTTTATGAATGTAATATATCTTTATCAATGTCCTCCCTTTCATCATTCTCTCCCATTTTTCCCAATCCCATCCTTCCCTCAATTTTCACTATTTTATAGGATATGCATTGAATAAAATTAAGTTTTATTGAAGTAAAACTGACAAAAATTTTATATAACTAATATTAGATATGTATATATTGGGGAAATTACAGACAGTGGTAAATGAAGGTAATGACTAAAATATATGGAAGGTCTTCATTCCAAATTGGCAGCTTTTCTGTAAGTTTAAAATGGTGTCAAAATAAGGCGCTACAAGATTAATGGTGTTGACATTTATTTTAATAAATAATATTATTATATTTATTACAAATTGAAATTTAGGTACAATTTATTTAATAGCTTTTTATTTTGACACAATTTGCTTGTACTCTCATCTCACTAACTGTGAGCTTTTTGGTGAGTTTTTTATTTTTTTTTAAATTTATTATTCATTGTTATTGTAAAGGTGATGTACAGAGGAGTTACGGTTATGTAAGTCAGACAAAGAGTACATTTCTTGGCAGCTAATTAGTTCTTACTGTGAACAACTCATGCTTTAAAAAAAGAAGTAAGAAAGCTCATGCTGACTTGAAAGCACATTTTTAAAAGATGATGACTATCAACATTAAAGTAACAAAGTAGAATTTATTCTCAGCTAATTGAGGGATGTGTTTTCAAATGAATACTATTCTACTCCTTAGGTACCAGTTTCCACTTACTGTGAGATTATTACATTTAGACTACTCATTCTTAATCTGAAGGTCTTCATAAGAATGAAAGACTAAGGCACAAAATATTTATTATTTAAGATAATTATTTTATCTGGATTGAGTGTCATCTTGTATACATGTAAAATGTATGTCATTTATAAAATGTGGTTGTTTGTACAATGTTGGACATGAAATACAATAAGTATAAATCTGAGCAAAACAAAAAAGAGTACATTTCTTATTGAACAATGTCACTTTTTCACTCTCTCCTAGTTTTTCCCTTTCATCTCCTACCTATAAGTTGTAGTTTATTTTCACTATTAGGTCTAGTGAGTACCACTATTGCATTTGTTCACCCTCTGTCTCTAATTTCTGTGCCCCTTTTTACAGTTTACCCCCTTTTATACCTTTTTAAAGGTATTAGGGTTTGAACTCAGGGACTTTCATTGCTAGGCTTGTACTCTGCTACTTGAGCAATGCTTCCAGCTGTTTTTCTGGTTATTTTGGAAATGAGCTCTCACAGACTTTTCTATTCAGGCTATCCTCAAACTACAATCCTTTGTATTTCAGCCTCCTGTATAGCTAGGATGACAGGCTATGATCTACTTTCAAATATACATAGGCATCTCTAGATTTCAGATATTACCAAATGCAATGTAAATGCTATGCAAACAGTTATTATTCTGTATACTGTGGAAGATAATAACTAGGAAAAATGTCTGTACGATGTAGTGACTACATAATTTTTGTGCAGTTTTGATCCACATTTCGTTGAGTCTTCAGGTCTGGAAGCCATGCATACAGTAGGAAGATTGTACTAATGATTCTAATTCTAGTGATTCATACCACTTCTGTGTAGTCCCTAGTATACCTTACAATGTAGGACCAGAATAAACTCAAGCACTGAGTAAACATCTCATATTCCTCTAATTCCATATATCAACAGGGATTTGTTAGTTCCAAAGAATTATAATCTATCCATCACTTCAGGAATGATGTAGCATTCAAATGCAAGTTTGGAATAACCCAAAGCCAAGAACTGGTAGCACAATGTAATAAAAATGTGGCCAATATCTTCAGGTAAAGCTATTCATGGGGATGGCAAAAACTTCTCAAGAAGAAAAATAGACATCTAGGCAGTTTATATAAACTGTGAGATAACAAGTACTAGGAGAACTAAGGTATAAAAACAGTATTGCTGAGCTTGTACATTTTCACTTGTTCTAAACTTGACTATCCTCTAGAAGAGTAGTGACTCCAGCCATATCATCTGCCATGGTTAAATAGCTAGTGGTTCTTTTTTTTTCTTTTGGTGGGTTGTGGGTCTTGAACTCTGGGCCTGGGCACTGTGCCTTAGCTCTTTAGCTCAAGGCTAGCACTCTACCACTTGAGCAACAGCACCACTTCCAGTTCTTTCTGCTTATGTGGTGCTAAGGAATCGAACCCAAAGCCTCATGCATACAAGGCAAGCACTCTACCACTGAGCCACCTTCCCACACATATAGACCCTCCTAGCAACTTTTACATGACAGGCGAATCCACATGGGGAAAATTCCATCTTGGGGAAGCATAGCTCATACTCACCATCATAAACACAAAAGACAGAGTCATGAGAAGTGTGGCTACAGACACCACACTCTGACCTGCTGCGATGGCCAGTGACATGGAACTGGCTGTGTAAGCCACCATCATTAAGGTGAACATCATGATGAAGAAAGCCTCCACTGCGGGTCTCAGTCCTTAGAAAGAAAAGAAAAGCTCAATCCAGCTGTCTATGTCACCAAAGTTAGATGTTGTATAAATCACAGTACAATAACTGGAGAAAGTAATATTGGCATTTTATAGTCCAACTACTTCGGGTCATATTTTTTCCCTCCATGTAACTGCATTGAGTTATCATCAATTTTCTTTCTTACACTTCCTGCAAAAGCTCTTAAAACTTGTGCTCCTTTATGTGTAATTATGAACAAATTCTGTGATGCTGAGCTATAGGCAATACATGACTGGCCCAAATCCTACTGTCTCCTCTCACGGGAAATGCATAAGTGGGAAACTTTTTTATACATTTGTGTGCACATCATTCAGTAATTGTTGCAACTACATTCACCAAGAGGCTAGAGGAAGAAGGCATGCAAACCATGGTAGTCCTAGACAACCACTTAATTCTAGGACAGTAAGTAGGGATTAAATAAGCCTCTTAAGAAAAGTTTACAAATTATAATGGGTTCTTAGGTCATTCAAGTCAGAAGATTTTGCCCAGAACTCTGGACATCTAGATTCCATGCAGAATTCTATATGGCACAACTTTTATTTATAAAGTAGAAATATAACTTCAGCAATTCTTATTCTATAGTGTTTTGTCAAAATAGATATTTGTGGAGGGGTTAGGGGTAAGTTGGTGGGTATAAAGGGAATTTAATATGGTGAACCTGGGGAAATAAAATATTTTTATGAAATTAATAAGCCCCAAAGTCAATTTCACCCATTAGATATTAATTTTTCAAATCTCTGTTGATATATCTCACTATTATCTCAGTAGAGAGATACAAAGAGAGGTAAATAAGAATACACATAGAGGAACTAAGTACACTTTCTTTCCAAGAATAAAGACACAATCTGGGGCTACTTACCTAACATGAAGTACAGTAGGCAAGTATATATAACACTTGGTAATAATCTCATGGGAAATAAATCAGAAAACAATTTTCCAAAGAAATAAGATGACACTCTGTAGTATCCACTGACAAATTCATGTCTACAGAAAAAAAAATGTATATCACAGATTAGTTCCAGAATGCACAGAGCAGATGAGATGCTTGTTGTATAGACTTTTGCAGTCCTCAGGGCCTAACAGCGCACTTCCCACACCCAAGGGGTTGACCGCTATGTTCATCACCTGCTCAGGTGCCAGTCTCCCAGGCACCAAAGCTCTCACTCTGACTCTCTTCTCACAGAGCTCTCTTGTGCTACTGTATACCTTGGGCCCAGAACTGCCCTTCTAGTGAAGCAGGGTCTGTATCAAATCCATTGTCCTAAGAGACTGCTTCTCCTGTGATGCTGGCTCTGGAGAATAGTCTTTCAGTGATCAAGTTCAGAGGTAATGGGGGCTTTTCCCCCCTACTTGTGGCTACAAAGGAGAAGTTACTGCTCTCCAAATTCCCAATGCAGCTGCATGTCCCTATACCCTGTTTATTGCTGTTACTCTAATATGATAACCTCCTTTCTTCTATAAGCACCACCTCCAAAGAACAGCTTTGTCAGCTACTAAATCCTAATCCTTGTTCTTTCTATGTATTCCTCCAGTAATTAGTACTCTTCTACCAGTACCATCATGTCTTCTTTCTGTGTATTTTCCTTAGAAAGTAAACATGGACACAGCTCTTCCATCTTTGAAAAAAACCCACAAGTGACAACTTCACTTTAAAGCCTTCCTATGGCTCTTTCCACTCCTCTATCCACCAAGGGCTAAACTTGCTCCATTCTTTCTCAACTTTACCTCCTCACCTCCAATTTGCTGTTGAATCCATTGCTTAATGGCCACCAAAGTCTTCAAACTTTTAGTGCTGTTATTTGACAAAAGGATGCTTTGCATCCCCTTTACTGTTATTTCCCCAGTAGCACAGGGATTTACAAACTATACCCCAACATTGATACTCCTTTCCCATGGTAGCTAGTGTCACGACCTTTCAACTTGCTCAAGATTAGTTTACTTCCATTACTCATGGTATAGTTTACTTCCATTACTCATGGTATCATTTTGAAAAGTTTGTGTGCACTATAAATATCCATAATTTGCATATACACTACACATACAGTATGTGCACACAAATGTATACATTAAAAAACAGAGAAAAGAAAAATACTGGCATTCTTGTCTAACACTGGATGTGCTCAGTTTGGCACAGTCATGCTGCCCCTTCCCAGAACTGGAAGCTACTCACATAAAGAGCTTCTTCTCTATAACAAAGAGCTCCACAGCGGATATGCTGCTGAAACACTGGTTGGTAGTCAGGAAGAACAGGACCCCGGCTCTGCCAGGAGAGGACAGGAGCAGTTAGCTCAATATTTTCAGGTTAGATTTTTTTATCCATAGAACTCATTCCACAAATAATATACCATTAAGTGGATTAAAAAAACCCAACAGATCTGGTTAATACAGCCTAAAGGAAGCAGGGCTCTTTGAGGTCTTGGTGTTTCCAAAGTGGTCCTGATGTGGCCCCATATTATAACACATTTTTAAATTGGTTGTAGCTTATTACGAACTGAATTATATTTACTTTAAAATCCTTACACTGAGCTGGGCGTTGGTGGTTCATGCCTGTATTCCCAGCCACTCAAGAAGTTGAGATCCGAGGATGGCAATCTGAAGCCAGTCCAGGCAGAAAAGTCCCTGAGAGACTCATCTCCAATTAACCACTTAAAAACTGCAAGTGGCGCTGTAGGTCATAGTGGTAGAGTGCTAGCCTTGAGCAGAAAGAGGCTCAGAGACAGCACCAAGGCCTTGAGTGCAAGTCCCACAACTGACCAAAAAAAAAATTCTTACACTAAAGCCTCCAAATGAACTTGTGTACTTGGAGATAAAGACTTTGGGAGGTAATGAAGTTTAGATACATTTTTGAGAAGTATAGTCCCGAAGATAGTATGAATACCCCAAAAGAGGAAGAAACAGCAGAGTGGCCTCAGCCATGAAAAGGAGAAGCTTCAAAGGCTGCTATTGTTATTTTCAGTACCATACTGTGGAATATATCTCCAAGGAAGTAGAAAAATCTTTATTCTTCCTGTCTGACATTTGGTGCCTTTTGACCATCATCTCACCTCCGCCACCTCTGCAGGCTCTGGGATCACCTGTTACCCTCTGCTTTTAAGAATTCAATTGTTAGCTATGGCTCATGTGGTAGAGTGTGAGCCTTGAGCATAAAAACTCAACGACAGAATCCAGGGCCTGAGTTCAAGCCCCAGGACTGGCAAAAAATAAAAAGAGAGATAAGGAACAGAATGTATATATACATTCGTAGGTACAGATAGCTGTACCTACAAGTGTATCTTTGAGTAATATTTCTACTGCAGTAAACCAAAGTCCATTTCTAACATTTTGTGTATCGTAAACACCAAATTAGAATACAAACACTTTAAAAAATTCAATTGTTTTAGATTCATGATGTTTGTGCCTCATTTTACTTCCATATGTGTTCTCTAATTCCATCTATGTTGACACAAATAACAAAATTTTATTTTTGAGACAGAACTATAATCCATTGTGTTTACATATCACATTTCCCTTAGGTATTTACCTGATCATGGACATTTATGGTAACTATATATATAAAACCTGGCTGTTGTGAATTACTGTTCACACCGAACATGGCAGTGCAGATCTCTCTGCCACAAGCTGATTTCAAATATTTTCAAATATTTTGCACAAGCATCCGAAGTGAAATTATTGCCTCTGATTATCTTGTGAACACTTTTCCCCCTAATGTTTGGCTCTTACCGCAACTCTGTAATGCTTTTATATTGTTTGTAAAATCCCCCCACCTCTTATTTCTTTGATGATCTTATCTCTTTGATGATCTTACTGCTCATTCATTAATGCATTATTCAGCCTCTTGTGCTTGAGTATGTTTTGTAGTTTCAATTGTTGTTGGCTATTAGAATATAGGAAGTTCTTTCCATTTTATTGGTTAAGACTTGTTTTATACCCTAAAATAAGATTATTTTGGAAAAAATTCCATCAACTTCTGAGAATAAGTCTAATATATCATTTAGCATTGTGTAGCTGCTGAATGGAACTTCTAAAACATTATTGTTATTATAAAGGTGATGCACAGAGGGGTTACAGTTACATAAGTCAGGTAAAGAGAGTACATTTCTTTTTGGACAATGTCCCCACTTCCCTCACTTGCTCCCAGGTTTTTCCTCCATCCCTACCCACAAGTTGTATAATTCATTTCTAACATAGTATCGAGTGAGCACTAACTGCTGCATTTGTTTCTCCCTTGTCCACATTTCTGTGTCCCCCCTCAACTCCCTCAAAGACAGAAAAACAAGGCAAAAAAGAAAAAAAAAAACAACAATAAAGAAAAATCTTCTTTAACAAAAAGAAAAATCCTCATTTCCATTTTCCTGGAGTTCATTTTGATAAATATTATTTATATTTATATTCTGTATATGAGAGAAAACATGCCATTTGTCTCTCTGACTTTGGCTCACCTCACTTAACATGATTTGTCCTAGGTCATGGTTGTAATTATTCTTAACAGATGTTCTTAATCTTGAACAAGGTGCCAGCATCAAGTCCAACTCAAGATCCAAATTTGGCTCCTCTGCCTATAGTGTAGCCTGCTCTACTTCTTCTCTGTAATAAACTTTCTACTTTTCTTTTATTACAGTACTTCTTTGCTACATGGGAAAAAAAATAAAATGTACTTACCTATTCTGTATTCCAGCAGGATCATTTGTTAGCCTAAAGTAAATTGCACCAATTATAAGTCCCAATATGACTGTGACAATTACCTTTTCAAAAAGAAAAACGAAAATAAAAAAGCTTTAGTTAGAGTTTTGTGTGTGTGTGTGTGTGTGTGTGTGTGTGTACGCGCACGCGTGCCCCAGACCTGGGGCCTTGAATTTAGTGCCCTATCACTGTCCCTGAGCGTTTGTGCTCAACGCTAGCACTCTACACTTGAGCCACAGCTCTACTTTCAGCTTTCTGGTAGTTAATTGGAGATAAGAGTCTCCTAGACTTTCCTGCCCAGGTTAGCTTTGAATCTCAATACTCAGATATCAGTCTCCTGAGTAGATAAGATTACAAGTTTGAGCCCACCAAATGCCTGAGACAAGAGGTAAATTTTTTATATGTCATTTCTTATTTTAAGATATATGATTGACTACATAATCAGGTATCCCCATTAAGATGGTATCTCTTTTTTGGTCATTGTACTGGGATTTGAATTCAAGGCTTCGCCCTTGCTGAGCAGGCATTCCACCACATAAGCCATTCATCCAGCAGATCTCTTTGTTGAGATACACACTTTAAATGGCTTAGTCAAAGTCTTTGGGACAATATATAAAATCATGCTTGCTATTAGAATATTTTCTAATTAAAATGAACATTAATGTTACTTGCTGTTTGGTGAATTGACAACAACAAAGAAGCTACTGGAAATGCCAAGACTCCTCCCAGATTAGTCACTGAACCCCTGAGAAACACACAGGGTAGCAGAACACTGGAGAAAGATTTGGGGAGTGAAGCAAAGTCTAATTGGGTGAGTTTTCACTTGAACTTTCAGCCTTCTGTACTTACCCTAACATGTTTTACTGATTTCAATAATGTATTGTACTGCAATCAAGCAGATCAGACTTCCAAAATTATTGCTGATGGCTCTACTTATATCAGCATACATGCATATATAAAAGCCTGATCTCACTGCATAACTTTTAATAACATTCAGTTTTATGGACCACACACTCCACAACCTGGTTTTTTTTTTTTTTTTTTTTTGCATCCCAACTTGTTATACTGTAACAACACTGTGGGCATAATCATTAAGAGTGTTCTGTAAATGTATATGTAATACAACTATTCTCAGTCAGCTTTTAAACACTGACAAACTGAGGAATCTCATGTTTTTATAAGTTATTCATTCCTGTATGTTTCTGTCTTTCACAAGAAAATAGAAAACCTGCAAAGTCAACAGTGTAAGCAGAACTTATCCCCTGAGGCTTGTGAATCTAACCTCTGCTTTAAGTACAATGGTTAATTTAAAAAAAGAAGAAAAAAAAAACAACCGTGCCAAGTCTAGCCAAAGTGCTCTATGGAACTGTTTGTGCTATCATTATAAAACATGAGTTCATAACGAGAAGCTTAACATACTAATGACTCTCTGAAAGAGTAGGAATAAAGACTTCCAAAGACATTTGGTCAGAAAATGCTTGGGACATTAAATGATCATTACATTTTCATATGTAGATAATCTATTCATTCCAACATCTTCTGAATACAACCTCTGGCTAAAGCCATGGTCCTTGATCAAGTAAATACATAACTTGTTCAAACCAAAGTACAAATTTAAGGCAATAAATAACAAGATTTATGAGCAGGAAGTCATAAAACATTTCAATAACCCATGTTGAGAAACAAAAAGAACTCTTGGGCAGTAATGATGGCCCGAAGGACAAATAGGACCAGCTACTTACACTGAAAGTATGAGCTAAGCACAATTTCTAGTCATTTTTATGATTTAGGGAGAAAGCCAAAGATATCATTGCTTGAACGATGAAATTCATCATAAAGAAAGAATTTTATTGGAACACTATTGTGTTCATTTGATTGTATGTTTCCTATGGTTGCTTTCAAATTAAAAACACAGTGCTGACTACCTGACACAAAGATCATACATGTTTGCACAATCTAAGATATTTACTATCACTCCCTTCACCAAAAATGGTTTGCCTAGTCCTAAGCTAACATTCCAGCACTTAGAATCTGAACAAGAGCTTGTCCTGATTAGCACAGGGAGATGAAAAGCTCAAGGGAGAGGCTTTTTCTATCATCACTCCACTACATCTGCAAACCAATTATCTCCCTATCTCTATGCCCTCTCTGCTTAAATTTTCTTCTTAGTTCTTTTTACTATCTGACCTACTATAAATTTTAATTCTTTATTCGGTTATAACCTATCTGTTGTCACACAGAAATAATTTCCATGAAGATAAAAAGTTTTATTTTTATTCATTTTTTCTTACTATATAACAAACTGAAAGGCCAAAGACAATCATGTTTTAAGGTCATAGTTTAGATATGGAATGTCTCTTAAAATCTCCTGTGTTGAAAACTTGGTCCCAGGTAGTGGAACTATAGAGGAGTTATTGTATCATGAAGGCACTGGGTTAGTTACTTTTCTCATCATTGTGACTAAATCCTGAGAGAGAACGTGGAAGGAAAGATCTATTTTGCTCATTGTTTGAGAGGCTTTAGTACATGGTTACTTGCTACCATTAATTCTGGCCCTGTAGTAAGGCAGTTTATCTTGGCAGTGGGAACATGAGTCATGCTATTCATTTAGTGCTGGACAGAAAACAGAGCAAGACAAGAAAATGCCTAGGACACCATACCCACAAGAGCTTCCCCCTAGTGATTTACTACCTCCAGCTCGGTCCTATATCCTATTTCCAGAAACTACCAGAATTATGATTCCAGATAGGGACTTAGTATTCAGCACATGACCCGGTGGCAGGGAATTTCTTGTTCAAACCATAATAGATGCTAATGAGAGCAGTGTGCTAATCTATCAATGAGTTCATAGCTGCATGATGCATTAGGACATATGCTGAGCCATGGGATGCAAATCACTGGGACATGCCTTAGAAGGGCACACCTTATTTCTATATCCTTCTTTCTTTCTGTCCACCATGAAGAAAGCACTTCAAGAAACCACTAAAACAAGCTTCCTATAGTCAGGCATGGGTGGTGGCTCATGCCTTATAGTCCTAGCTAATCAGGAGGCAGAGATTTGAGTATCAAGACTTGGAGCCATCTTGGGCAGGAAAGTTCATGAGACTCTAATTAGCTGCCAAAATGTTGGAAGCTGTAAAATGATCAAGTGATAAAAATGCTAGCTTTGAATGAAAAGCTTAAGTGAGAACATGAGGTCCTGAGTTCAGACCCAAATAGTGGTACACACACACACACACACACACACACACACACACACACACACACGCATACATGCACACAAAACAGCAATGGGGCAGTTACCTGGGCTATAGAAGCCTGGGGATTCCCCAGTAAATTTTTGAATGAACGTTTAGTAATCCACCTGAATTGATGACAGAAGGGAGTGACATAGACAATCTCCTTGAAGGCTAAGTTCTTCTTCTTTCTCTCACCCCTTGAAAGTTGGTCTAATTCAGCTTTTGTTTCTCCACAGAAGGAAGAGTTGACATAAAACTCAGTTAATTTTTCTATGATTGGCTTTTCTCTTTTGGAAGATTCTTCAGGACTTTTAGCTTTGGGTGAAAATAAAAAATTAAAAGGAAAACATTAACAGATGAAAACTGATTTAATTCATTTGTGTGGCATATTTCTTGTATAACCCTTTGATTCTTGATAAAAGAAATTGCTAACACTGTCACTGTTTTTTTTTTACATTTTAGAAAGACACAGCAAATTGACCAGTTGCTGCCATAATCTGCATTTTCACGATTTAAACCATAACTCATTTATTTATTATTGATTGATTGTCCTTACCTAGTTGTACAAAAGGGTTTCTATTCAATATGTCAGTTTTTGAGTACAATAAATCTTGATCAATGTCTCCCTTTTCATCATTCTCTCTCAACCCCATCATCCCCTCAATTTACCTCGCTTCATTTTTATATATGTACACTGAATATCATAACTGAGTTTACTCATTCATCTTTTCTCCACTCTTCCTCTCTTCATTCTTCTACTTCCTTCATGTAACCTTACCACTACTACCCCAGCACCTGTTCCAGCTTCCTGGTATTTATTTTTTTAAGCTGTAAGCTAGTTGTTCAAAGGAATTACATCACTGGAATTCTTCCCTAACTCCACCATACTTTAGTTAATATGTTTGTGTATATATACATAGGATCCTTATGGCACATATATACTTATAATTTAGATCTAATTTCTATATATGAGAGAAAAGATGTATCCTTTGTCTCTTTGAACCTGACTTATTTTACTTTACTAAACACAGAACAATCCTATGACCCAGCAATCCTATTCTTGGGCATTTCTCCAAAAGATTACAAGTCAGAATACATTAAAGGCAGCTACAAAGCCAGGTGCCAGTGGCTCACGCCTGTAATCCTAGCTACTCAGGAGGCTGAGATCTGAGGATTGTGGTTTGAAGCCACCTTGAGCAGGAAAGTCTGTGAGACTCTTATCCCCAATTATTCATAGAAAAAGCTGGAAGTGGTGCTATGTGGTAGAGTGCTAGCCTTGAGCAATAGGAGCTCAGGGACAGCACCCTGGCCTGGAGTTCAAGCCCCAGTCGTGGCAAAAAGGGAGGCAGGTGTACACCCATGTTCTGTTGCACTAGTCACCATAGCCATTAGGGAAACAGCCCCAGATGCCCTCAGTGGACAAATGGATCAAGAAAATGTGATATATATGCTGAAGTACAGCACTCAGGCTCTGAATTCAAGCTTTGTACTGGTACACATGCACACACACACACACACACACACACACACAATTAGAGTATCAGAAAAATCTCCATTTAAAAATTAAGTCACAACACCTCCAGCTCTCATGGACAACTGTCTATTGACTAGCATCAGAATTACATGGCAAGTTCTAATGAGCCACACCATTGCTAAATTTCAGTCACTTCAATTAGGGGGAAAAATCAATTTGTGATTATTGAAGATTAACATACCTTCATGGTCTTGTTCATCTTTGTTTAATACCACAGCAGAAGAATCACCATTGATGACATCCAGGAAGAAGTCTGCAGGGTTGTTGTAAGGCTCACAGTGGTAACCTATGAAAGAAGGAAACCCAATTATGTATTTCCTGATGGTCTTGGAAACTGAAGAGGACTCATTTTCAAGAGAGAGGGCCTAGGGAAGACAGAATCCAACAATCTCGTCTTCTCACTCTTGCTCTCTCCTCTTCTCAGGTATATATTCTTCCCTCTCACATATTAAATCAATACATTAACAATTCCAAAGGAATCATGGGTGTTCTGCTGCCCATCAAGAATTCCTCAAAAATCTAAATCAATAAATATACACAAAAATAGCTAAGTGCCCATGCGCCTTCTGCTATCTGAATTCCCCTGGTAGATGAGAGGCTAGCAGGCTACCAATCAACAATAATAGTTTTGCCATACCAATTGAGAGGTACATCCTGTCCTAACTCCAAATAGAAAACAAATCCCAAGAGCAGGATTTATAGGAGAACACAGCCAGTCTAACATGCCTGAACTCTGACTTAATTTCTCAGGGCACAATCACCACAACTTGTCCTGATGTCTGATTTGTAAATATATCTCACCTTCCCTTCAAGACTCATAGGTAATTGGTTATTTTAGCATCCCTTTCCACTTAAACCACAGTTCCAGACCTTATTGTCTCAGTTATGTTTGAGGTAGGGTCTTATTTCATGCCCACACTAGTGGGGACTGTGACTCTCCTCTTTTGGTTTCCCTATGTCATTGAGAATGACAGAGTCACACTGTTGTATCCAGCCATTATTCTCCCCATGTAGCCAGCAATAAAGGCTCACACTTCTGCACCAGCCATTGGTAAAGATGGACTTTCATGAATTATTTGTGCCTAAATTCCTAAATTTGCCTTGAAGTGAGATCCTCTAATCTCTGCCTTCCAAGTAACTAAGATTAAGCTTGTAGGCTTAATGCACTGTGGCCACTAAAGGATACAAACTAAACAATATAAGAAACTAAGCAATATAAGAATGTTAGGAAGTGAATATTAAACTTTTACTCGAGTTTTTGGAGAATCATGTATAACCATATCCACATATCTCTGAAATAGAAAAAATTTCACGCTTATCTTAAAAAGGAAGAAAAGGAAGCTCAGAAATCAGAACATCAAAGTCAGACTTAAGATTAGACATTTTATTGATTAACAACAGTTCACTTGTGAGTCACGAAGGTCATTCACTCAAAGCCTGAATCTGCAATCTAGAACATTAAGTGGCCTTTCTATGACCTTTCATTAAGTTAGAGCAAGATCTCAATGTATTACCTATCATCTATGGTCAAGAAGGCAAAGATCCTGGGCCTTTCCCAAATGGTTCAGCTGACAGAATACCTGGTTATGAGCTCACTACATCACTGAACTTTCAGGGAAAAATACCATAACAGAAAGCAGGAAAAAGGCCAAGTAGAAACACATATGCATACATGAGTGGACAGAAAAAGGAAAGCCATCTAAACAATAGGATATGCCTCAAGATAAAGGTTCTAGCCAAAGGTGTTTTAGAATCTGAGGTACAGCTACACAAAAATCAAGCAGCACTCCTTTCCAACCCTCTGTTCTCTTCTAGGAATCTATAAATAAGAGACTTATTACACACATAATCATCCCTACCTGCTGATGCAAAGAAATCCAAAGCTTTCTGTGCAGGTCCATGGAACATTAATTTCCCTGAGGCCAATAAGGTGAGGCTATCGAACAACTTGAAGATGGAATACCGAGGCTGATGAATGGAAAAGATGATTGTTCGGCCCTGTTTAGACATCCTGTATTAAAACAGGAGAAATAAGAAATCATTGAACATCCCAACATGATACTTCTTGGGAAAATATTTACTCCTACTGTTAGTTCCTATTTTTCCCAGTTCACCCATCTCATCTCCTATTATCTAGCTGATAGTTTGGGAACCTAAATCAAGGATTCTAGTAAAGATACTATGGGAGCTGGGGGTATCTACTTCAGTGGTTTAGTATAGCCCAATTGAATAGCAAGTTTTTAGCACATTAAGACCTTCGGTTCAATCCCTAAAAGCAAAAAGAATAAAAAGCACCTAGAACTTCTCAAGGGATGGTGCATCAGAATAGTAAAATTCACTAGATGGTATTTATTGACAACACAGATTCATGAACAGCCTTCACAGATATTGACTAGAATCTCTTAGATGGGTGTAAGGAGTCCATATTTTCAAAAAAGTACCTCAGGAAAATATGTAAGTACACTATAGTTTGAGAAACAATTGTGTTAAATATTAAAATAATAACAATACGTCTTGTTCTTGCTAATTATTTAAGAATTTATTTTCAGCCGGGCACTGGTGGCTCACACCTGTAATCCTAGCTATTCAGGAGGCTGAGATCTGAGGATCATGGTTCAAAGCCAGCCTGGGCAGGAAAGTCCGAGAAACTCTTATCTCCAATAAACCACCAGAAAACTGGAAGTGGCGCTGTAGCTCAAGTGGTAGAGCGCTCACCTTGAGCTGAAGAGCTGAGGGACAACACTCAAGCCCAGAGTTCAAACCCCACAACTAACCAAAAAAAAAAAAAAAGAATTTATTTTCATTCTTTTTCTCTGAAAGTAAAATATACAGCTAAAAGCACTTAACTATATCTTTGCTAAATACTATAGACATCATCTCATTTCAATATTCACAATGTTGTTATAAGCCACTTGTGATATTTTATTAAATATGGTAGCCTTCCTCAGTGGGAAGAAATGGAGTGTCCACCATGCTTCCTGGAGTCACACTGAGGAGGATTCGATGAAGTTACTGATTGGTCTGAACCTGATTGGAGTCATTTAAGAGGTGACTAGACACACATGCACACAGTGGGAGAAGACAGCCATCTACAAGTCGATGAAAGATGTTTTGGTGGACCCACCCTGATCTCATACTTCCTGCTTTCAGAGCTGCTAGAAAACTGATTAGTACAAACTAAAATGTAATGAAAATTAAAAGAAAAATAATATTTGGTTTTAAACCATTCAATCTGTGATGTTACAAGAGAAGACTAGACAATGTCCATTCCCCTCATGTGATTGGATTCTAGTCTCTTTGATGTTCCAGACATATCTGTAATGTTCTGTTTCAGGGCTGCTGCCCCTTTGGTCCAATTAGATTACTCTTCCAATGTAAAATAGCATTAACTTGCTACAATGGTCATCGGTGTCCATGCTTTTGTTCTGTGTCTTGTTCTCTTACTCTTTCTTTGTCTCCCCTCTCTGTCTCTGTCTCTGTGCCTGTCTGTTTGTCTGTCTGTCTGTCTCTGTCTCTCTCTCTCTTTGCTTTCTCTTTTGAGACAAGGTTTCACTATGTTCGGCTGGCCTGTAACTCACTATATATCCCATGCTGATCTCAAACTCACAGTCCTTGTGTCTTAGCTTCCTGAGAGCCAGGATTATAGTTATGTACTCTTCTTCTTTCTTGATACTGTTTTGTTAACTGTTTCTGATAAAGAAGACATTTTGCCCTTCCCTTCTCAATTTCCTTCCCCACAATACCTGATATGAAGAAGTTGGCAAACATCAAATAAACAAGAGAACAAAATTCTGTGGTATTTACCTTTTCAGGAGCAAAAGGACAGCATTTGCTGTGCTTGAGTCTAAACCAGTCGTGGGCTCATCCAGAAACAAGACAGAAGGATCTGTGATCAGCTCCATTCCTATACTAGTCCTTTTTCTCTCTCCTCCAGACACACCACGGATAAACTGAGTTCCAACCTAAAATAAAATATTATCTCAGTCACTATTATTTGGTGGCATAACTTCTGCTAGCTGTACAAGACAATCTCATTCTGAACAGCAAATAAATGCACACCTGGGAGAAAAGGAAGGCCTTTCTTTCACCAGCTTAGGTTAGAGCCAAGTGGCTAGACCTGACATGAAGCCCATGCTTCCGACAATTCTGCATGTTGCTAATCAAGCCAAATGTGCAGATTCATGGTAGAGAAATCAGTCTGAAACAGGAGATAAAGACAAAGACAAAAGGGAAAGCATCTAGAGTAATTTATTGGTTTTCTACGAACATCTTCACCCTCTCTCTCAAATGCCTCTGTCAGAAGTCTTAGAAGAAGAGGGTCAACTTGAAAGTAGGAAAGTTTATATAACAAATCGGCACATTTTCAGGCTTCTTACTCCTTTGCTCTCTATCCCCTAACTCACTGCAGAATTCCTGATCATCCTTTCAGATAAATCCAGGGGGTAGTATATTCTACAGTGCCCTTAGCTCAATGTTTTCAACCAGTTAATATCATTGTGGGTGTGCATTGGGGAGTACATTGAGGAAGGCAGAAAGTAGCAAACAATTCTGAAATTAATTGTCTCCAAAGTGACAATGATCAAATGCTACTCATTGCTCCTGATTGAACTCTATAAACAGAGAAGATTTTTCTACACAATTTAGGAAATGTGAATAAATACAGGTTTGACATAATTGATGCCATGAAGGTATTATTCATTTTTTTAGTTGACAATAGTGTTGTGATAAACTATGGAACTGTCCTCTTTATTTTTGCTTTAATAAAATTTTTTTGAATCACAGCTCCACTTCTGTCCTTTTCTGGTGGTTACGTGGAGATAAGAGTCTCACAGACTTTCCTGCCTTGGCTGGATTTGAAATGCAATCCTCTTATCTCAGACTCTTGATTAGCTAGGATAACAGGCATGAGCTACCAGTGCTGGCTGCTTACTGATTAAGAAAAATAATTTGATTCTAGTGATAGAGTGCAGACAAAAATATACTCTACCTCTGATCCACAGCTTCAGCTTCATGTCATTTTTTTTACAGATGTATATAAAATATTGGAAGATGAAATACTATATGACTTTCTTTAAATTATTCCCTTAGGATATAGCTGAAGAAATTATGTGGTAGAATTCAATTCACAAAAACCAGTAGCTTTTCTGTATACTAACAATGAGCAGATAGAGAAGTAGTAAAGGACTTTTACAACAAAACCTATAAAACTTTGAAAAAAAAGACACTGAAGAAGATACCAGGAAGTAGAAAATGTAATTGACAAATTCAATACAATACCCATCGAAATCTCAATGTCATTCTTCACATAGAGAAAACAATTCAAAAATTCTTATGGAACTACCAAAGGTTCTGTAAATAGCCAACGCAATTGTGGACTTCAAATTTTACTATGTAAAGGTCACCAAAGCATCATGTCACAAAAACAGACCTTGAGAACAATGGAACAGACTAGAAGACCCAGAAATAAACCCATATACTTAACAGCCATTTGATATTTGACAAGGGAGATAAAATCATGGGGAAAAAGACAGCCAATTGGTGATGGAAAAAGTGGACATCCATATGTAAAAGGCTGAAATTGAATTCCTATCTCTCACCTTGTACTAATATCAGTTCCAGGATGGATCAGAGAGTTCAATGAAAAAGTACTACAGGGAGGAGAAGGAGGAGAAACATTAGAATTTATTGCCATTGGCAGAAAATTGCTGAGTAGAATTCCAGAGGCTCAGTAAATTGGAGAGAGAATTGACCAATGGGATTGCACCAAGCTGAAAAGTTTTCATAGAGAAGGGCATAGTTACAAGCTAAAGAAACAGCCTAGAGAATGTGAGATCTTTGCCAACTATATGTTTGACAAGAGCCTAATATCCAGGACAAAGAATTAATAATCCAACTAATAACTGGGCATTGGAGCTGGGCACTGGTGGCTCATGCCTGTAATCCTAGATACTCAGAAGGCTGAGATCTGAGGATCTCAGACCAGGCCAAAAAGTCCATGAGATTCTTATCTCCAATGAACCACCAAAAGTCAGAAGTGAAGCTGTGGTTCAGTGGTAGAGTGCTAGCCTTAGCCCAAAAGCTCATAAGTGGAAGTTAGATCTAAATTATAAACATGTATGAAAACATATCCACATTCAAAAGCATATCCATACAAACAAAGTCACCGAAGCATAAGGTATGAAAATGGCCATACTGGTATGAATAAGCCAATCACCTATTATATGCAGGAGAGGATTCCAATGGTGTAAACCCTTTGAAAAATTAACAGAGTTTAACACAAGGAATACCAGGAAGCTGGGACATGTGTTGGCAGAAGAGGGGAGAAATCTAAGGGAGTGAGTGAGTAGACAAATGGATAAAGATCATATGGGAGAATACAGTCAAAATATCCTACATATATTCATATATTCAAAATATTCTCCTTATATAGAATATATACATATATTCATATATATATATTTATATATATCCAGGTAACTTGAGGGGATGGGAGGGATTAGGAGAGATGGGAGAGAGTAGTGGAATAGTGGAAGGGATGACACTAATTAAGATACATTGTACTTATAAACTTATATGTTGAACTGAAGCCCCTTTGTACAACTACTTAAAGACAACTTTTTAAACTTTAAAAGATTTAACAAGTGGTGCTGTGCTCAAGTAGTAGAGCTCTAGCTTTGAGTGAAAGAAGCTCAGGGACAGTGCCCAGGTCCTGAGTTCAAGTCCCAGGACCAATACTCACACAAAAAATGATCTGGTAAAAGATCTAACAACTAAGAAATTCACATGAGTATTGGTAATACTCATTGGTAATGGCATTAGTATACCATACTAATTATCTAAAAATCACATCATTATGGTAACAAGACTATATTTACTATATTTTTTATATATAAAGTTTTATAAAAAAAAAATAGCTGGATGTGGTGGCTCATGCCTGTAATCCTAGCTACTTAGGAGGCTGAGATTTGGGGACTGCAGTTCAAAGCCAGCTGGGGCAGAAAAGTCTCCATGAGACTGTTATCTTCAATTAATCACTCAAAACTGGAAGTGGCTCTGAACAAAAAGAGCTCAAGGACAGTGCTCAGGGCCTGAGCTCAAATTCCATGACTGACAATACACAAACAAACAAATACAGTAAAAAAAAAAAATAAGCAAGCATGCTGGGGGCTCACATCTATAATCCTAGCTACTCAGGAGGCTCAGAGATCTGGGGATCACAATTTGAAGCCATCCAGGGCAGGAAGAGTCCAAGATACTCCTATCTCCACTTAACCACAGAAAGCAGGGAGTAGAGCTCAAGTGACACTGAGCAAAAGAGCTCAGACACAGAGTTCAAGCCCCAGTATTGCACGCACACACATGCGTGCACACGTGCATGCATACATACACATATACACACACACACATGAAAGTAATAAAAAATTAAATAATTCAAACACTGAGATTATATCAATTTTATGAAATCTGCCTTTATACATTTCCCTTGGTAGGCCCCACCACCCAAAGAAACTTAGAGGAATGAATACATAATGATGTGGAGCGGAAGAGAAAAAACAAATTGTTTAAATAGGGATACAGGTGGACCCATTGCAACAATCAGATGTACAAGACATTATGTCGAAAAATGAACTTCACAACTTTGGCGCAGGGTGGGGGGGGTTGAGATGGGAGGGGATGGGAAGGGGAAACAAAAGTAGGAGGCAACAATACTTGATAAGAAATGTACTCATTACCTTGCTCATGTAATTGTAACCCCTCTGTACAGTATTAAAAAAAAAGAATAAGGCAGGGCATAGCTCAGTGGGAGAGAACTTAACTAGCAGCCATGAGGTGTCTGAGTACAATCACAACACAAAAGCAAAACAAGAAACAACAACAAAAAAACCAGATAGCAAAATAGAGAGTAAAACAAAGTACCTTACTAAAAAGACAAAATAAAAATTAAACATACATGGTTAAGATAAAGAAGTTCCAATCACATAAAAATCAAAGCTAAGGTAACCCCGCTGTATATCACCTTTATAAAACCAATAAAAAATGTAATGATTAAAAAAATAAAAATTAAAAGATAAATAGTGGCATCCCTGAGTTATTCTAACAAAATATACTTCACATAGAGGACTGTCAGGGGAAACGGCAGCCAGGAAAACTCTGTTATTCTATAACTCTAAGTAGACAAATCAGGAGTTAAACCACAGCTAACACATGGCTTGTTTTTGCCCAAAGCTCCAAATAGTTACTCAAAATTTCCACAGTCATCTCAGTTTCTACTTCTGCTCTTGCATAACACATGAATGGAGGAGCTATGTTGTCTACTCTGTTACTCTTGGCCATACCCTAGCTCTAAAACCTAACAGAACTTGGCATGCAAGAGTATGGTAAGAAATATTGACAGAGGAAAGGGAAGAAGGGAAGGAAGAAGGGAAAAAGAGACAAAAACACCAACAGAGGGACTGGAAAAAGCAACTTGAGCACTGTATAGAGTAGAAACAATCCTAACATGACTGAATGTAGTCTGGGAAACCAAATTACAGCAAAGAAAACTTTCACACCGAGAGTCCTTGGATTACTGTTATTTCTCAAGTCAGGATATATGCCTAAAAAATGTAAACATCTCCTGGAGGAAAAGAGGGAACAGCTAAAGAAGGAAAGCAACATATGAAAGAAGAAAAGGAAGTGTCCACATACCCCAAAGCCACGACTAGAACCTCCTAGGGGAAGAGACTTAGAAAAGAAGCCATATGAGGACACTTTTCCACGCTTCATTCCTAGGGCTCAACATTGTTAAGATTGCATTGCCAGCTTCACTTGCACTTCATATGATGGAACTAGTGAATTTTTCTTTTTCTTTTTTTAAAATCCTTGTAGAGAGCAGGCACTCATTTCACACACCTTCTAGGAAACATCTGATGAAGATCATGTTACTCACAGAGGAACAGTCCTGGCTATGAAACAAAAACACTTTTCCATTACCTTGGAATCTGCCACTTTATCCAGACCTAACTCTCTAATGACCATGCTGATGCGTTCATTTTTTTCATGGTTTGTCATGGTTGTTGGAAGTCGAAGGGCTGCAGAGAATTGCAGATTCTCTCTCACTGTCAAGGTGCCCATCACCACATCGTCCTTGAGGCAAGAAAGTATGTTAATGAGACATACTGGATTTTTCAGTATATGTAAATATATGGGTGCAAAATACACACAAGTATGTGCAACTTAACCCATAAAAACAGCATACCCAAGGTATAATTCTGTAATTCAACAATAGCAGTAACTCCATATACAGACTCTCTGGTCTCCAGGGAATATTTTTACCCCCCCCCCCCCCTCCCAAATGCAACCTCAAACAGAGTTCAGACAACTATGATGATTTTTACAAGGCATTTGCAAGACTGCTTTCTACAAGTATTTGCCACAGACCTCTTCTAGGATGAGGAGAAGGGGAAGAAGGGCAAAAAAAGGATAATGGGGCATACATTAAAAATGACTTACCACCCAGCACCACTGGCTCACACCTTTATCCTAGCTACTCAGGAGGCTGAGATCTGAGGATCATGGTTTAAAGCTAGTCTGGGCAAAAAAGTCCATGAGATTCTTATCTCCAATTAAGCAACCCCTAAAAAATAGCTGGAAGTAGAGATGTGGCTCAAGTGGTAGAGTACTAGCATTGAACACTACAGCACAGTGCCCAAGCCCTGAGTTCAAGCCCAGGGCCTTCACCAAAAACAAAAACAAAGAAAAACAACAAAAATAGCCAGCTAGAGCTGGTGCCTCTAGTCCACAGAGTCATATTCCAGGTCCTCTCTGCCTGTCCATTAATTCCAGCCTCATCTATGGAGATTAGGAAACGCTGGTATAGAGAAACATGGATCAATGAGCTGGTTACACAATCAACTGGAAGCACACTAAACTATAAGCCAAGGCATGTGCCAACAAAGCAATAGAGGAAACCTAAAATCCATATCTGCTCATACTTACCTGTACCACATAACCTGAATTACATTTGAAATTGGCAGGTCGAGGTGCTCCATTTATCAGAACTTCTCCAGACAATCCATGTGGGTCTTTCCTTGCAGCTAATATATCTAGCAACCTAGAAGAAAATATATATGTTGTGTGCTTCTTTTGCCTACCATATCCCTAGGTTATATCCCTCAACTACTCTGAAGCTAAATCCTGCTAATATTAAAAAATTAACTAGCCAAGAAATCTATGGCTTAACTAAAATGACACAAGTGTGTGTGCGCATGAATGTTTGTATAACTTTAATATGTATAAAGTTTGGTGTATGTATCATACATATGTATGTATACCTATGTATGTATATATATGTGTGTGTATATATAGACACATAATATATATACATAAAATATATGTGTATATTATGTGTCTATATATACACACATAATACAAATTCTCAGCTTCCTTTTCATTCTATGCTACAAGAAAGCCCCCAAATATGAAAACAAGGACACAGGCTGATGTATCATAGGCCTCCCAAGCAATTCTTCCTACTGTCAGATCCTCCCAGTTGTCAATCCAGATAATGTGCTCTCTTTTTTTTGTTGTTGTTGTTTCATTTTGTGCTGGTCCTGGGGCTTGAACTCCGGACCTGGGAACTGTCCCTGAACTTTTTTTTACTCAGGTCTAGCACTCTACAACTTGATCTACAGCTCCACTTTCAGCCTTTCTTTTTTTTTTAAAGTAAGTTTTTTTTATTGTGAAAATACTGTACAGAGGGGTTACAGTTACATGAGCAAGGTAATTAATGAGTTCATTTCTTATCAAGCATTGTTGCCTCCTCCTTTGTTTTTCCCCTAACATCCCCTCCCTCCCACCTCCACAACTACACTCCCCCGCCAAATTGTAAAGTTCGTTTTTCAACATAGTGTCTTGTACATCTCATTGTTACAATGGGTCAACCTGTATTCTATTTAAACATCTTGTTTTTTCCCTTCCCCTCCCCAAATTATACTGACTTCAAATACAGTGAAAACAAGGATTATACCGTGGGGAAGGAACATACAAAACAACAAAAAAAAATTACATGGTACCTTATTGTTGGTGGGAGTGTAAACTTGTTCAACCACTTTGGAAAGCAGTATGGAGGTTCCTCAAAAGACTCCACATAGAGCTCCCCTATAACCCAGCAGTCCCACTTTTGGGTATTTACCCAAATGATCACAAACAAGACCATACTAAGGCTACCAGCACAACTACGTTTATTAAAGCATTATTTACCATAGCTAAGATATGGAAGCAACCCAGATGCCCCTCAGTAGATGAATGGATCAAGAAAATGTGATTTATATATATATATATATATATATATATATATATATAGTGTGTGTGTGTGTGTGTGTGTGTGTGTGTGTGTGTGTGTGTGTAATTCTATGCCTCCATCAGAAAAAATGACATTGTCCCATTTGTTAGGAAATGGAAAGACTTGGAAAAAATTATATTAAATGAAGTAAGCCAGGCCCAAAGAGACATAGGTCCCATGCTTTCCCTAATTTGCAATAACTAGTATATGTCTGGGACAAGTTGAAAAGGTCAAAAGCTATGTACATACGACCATATAAAATGAAGTTAAGTGAAATGAACCCCAAGATAGGGACACAAGTGGTTTTTTCTTTCTTGCTATTGTTTCCAACCTTTCTTTTTGGTAGTTAAGTGGAGATAAGAGTCTCAAGAACTTTTTATCCAAGCTGGTTTCAAGCCATAATCATCAGCGATCAGCCTCCTGAGTAGCTAGGATTATAGGCAATGTGCTTTCTCATTTAAACTCATGCCTTGAATTAAATCTTGAATTATGCTCCATTCCGTTGATTTTAAATATCATTCTCTTTGTCCTCCCCATTAGCCCATAATATAGGCCAACATTAAATTCCAGCTCCTTTAGCATGTGCCATTGGTGAAGATGACCTAATATGACTTCCTGGTGCTTGGAAACAACCACAAGGCAGCCCCTAGGCCCATACCCCACAACCATAGCAAATGCTCAGGCAATCCCATTCATGATAAAGCAGTCTTTAAAAGTAGATTCCAAGTGAGCAAAGACGAATAATTCTGTGATACTCACGATGATTTGCCTCCACCTGTGGGTCCCAGAATGGCATTGAGGCCAGGCTTCATGATCCCACTGCAAACATTAAAACAGACTGATCTATTATTCCACCCTACAGAAAGTTCCAAAATTTAGCATCTTCACTCAATGCACCCAAGAATATGGATAAACTTGTAAACAGCAAAATGTACCAAGTCTTGATGAGTAACAGAGAATTGTTGACTGATAAAAGTATAGTATCTCCTAACACAGGTTGAAGTGTTCATCAGCATTTGAATACCATTGATGACCAGTGTGTTCAAATCACTTCACTTGGTACTTCACTTTGACACAATAAATCATTACTTGTAGAACATAGCAGAAATAATGTTCATAAATCACACCAAAATTCAAGACATCTTAAGTTAGAAACCCTAAGGCTTGCATGAAGCACTCTAGAGGATGAAAGAGCTGCATCGTTTGGCATTCCAGAAAATGGTCTTACAAATTACAAAGGCAAAATATGCAGCCCCAGAAAAGATTATTCCTTCTTTTTCTTTTCTTTTTTCTTTTTTGGTTGGTTGTGTGTAGAGCCAAGCTGTGAGACCAGGAAAGGGTTAAGAGGTTGGAATGCCACCTCAATAGTACTCAGAAAGCTGAGAACTGGACCCCAGAAAGCCAAACAGTCAAAGCAAAACAGAAGGATAAATTACTACCCTAAGTCTAAGTTAGAGCTGTTTTGGACACTATAAGCTTAAGACCTTGGAAATAAGATGAATGTCTGTTTATTGTTCCCCTCCACTCCCTAATGAGGGAGTCAATTATCACCATGTATACAAACTATACCTTATGTTAATGCTTTTTCTCATTATGATGTACATTTTTTATTGTGAAAATACTGTACAGAGGGATTAAAATTACATGGGCAAGATTATGAGTACATTTCTTATCAAGCATTGTAGCCTCCTCCTTTGTTTCCCCTTCCCATACCTTCCCATCCTCCACCCCTCCCATCTCCCCACCCAACCCTGCCCCCGCCCCAAAGTTGTAAAGTTTGTTTTTCAACATAACGACTTGTACATCTCATTGTTGCAATGGGTCCACCTGTATCCCTATTTAAACGATTTGTTTTTTCCCTTCCTCTGACAAATTATACCAATATCAAATACAGTGAAAGCAGGGGTTATACCGTGGGGGAGGGACATACAAAGCAATAAAGAAATCATTTTATAAATGTGTTAGAAACAATCACCTGAAAGAAAAAAAAAACATTTGAATACATATCTTGGGATTCATTTCCCTAACATCAACTTATCTGACCTTTCCTGCTTGACTCAGACAGATACTAGTCATTGCAAATAAGGGAAACCATGGGACCTATGTTCCTTTGGGCCTGGCTTACTTTACTTAATATATTTTTTTCTAAGTCTTTCATTTCCTAACAAATGGAGCAACGCCATTCTTTATGATGGAGGCATAGAATTCCACTGTGTATATATACCACATTTTCTTGATCCATTCATCTACTGAGGGGCACCTGGGTTGGTTCCGTATCTTCGCTATGGTAAATAATGCTGCAATAAACATAATAGTGCTGGTAGCTTTAGTGTGGTCTTGTTTCTCATCATTTGGGTAAATGCTCAAAAGCTAAAAAAAATAATTGTGTGGTCTTAGAAAAGAGTCTTTTCTTCCTTAACCTGGAGCTTGGTTAGGACAAAGCGTGAGACCCTGCAGGGAGTGTGCGCAACCAAGTGAGATAATCCAGGGACTGCGAAGTACAGACATCGAAGAGATGGGAGTAAAAGGAGTGGACTGAATGGCTGCCCTGATCAGATGTCAAACCATCTCCTTTCTGTGAAGTTACCTTAAATTCCCAAAGTGTCAATTCCTTGAGAAAAACAAGGAAGAGGAGTCATGGGTGCCATCAAAGATTACTTCTGTTTATGTCCACGGAACTAAGTTAGCAGAAACAGAACAAAGATTTTGTTTCCTGAGATCAGCATTATTCGACACATTTTTGGACTACCCATAAAGGAAATGCAACTTGAAGTGATTGAGAGCCAAAAGGAAAGGGAAAGTGATTGACAAAAAAAAAATTGAAAAGGAGAAAGAGAAACAAAAAAAAATTGAAAAGGAGAAACAGAAAGAGAGAGAGAAAGATAAGGGGAGAGAGGGAAAGAGTTAGATCTCAGGCACAACGAGAATTGGGCATGAATAGCTCATTCATCTGATTTTCTTCCTCTGACAGATTTTCTTTGGTTGCGGTGTGTGAGCGAGAAGAGCTTTGATTTCAGACGTGTATGCCATCATTTCCAACAAAAATATCATTGCTTGTTTCTGGGTGGAGACGTGTTGAGTCAGGAGCAAAGATCTTTGTGAGTGTTGAGTCAGGAGCAAAGTTCTTTGTGGCATGGCATGGATAGCATTCTTGTTTTCACCTGAATCTCATGTCCAGAGGTAGTCATCCCAGGCAGGGTCCATCCTCAGACAAAGTCCACAGAGGCCTGGTCCATCCACAGGTACCATTGTACTTCCATGTTCTCTCAGGTCTCCTGCTCCTTCAGAGGTTTCTCCATCTCTCAAAGTCCAAGATTTCTAGCTTCAATTAAAATTTTCACTGAATGTATCTTCTCAAAAACAAGATCGCTGTGGCTTTCATAGTCTTCCTTCTTTTTCTTTTCACATTCATTAATCTTCGCCCAAGCGGGCCAGGAGCTCGGGATCCTCCTCCTCTTCCACAGGAGTCCCAGGAGCACAGAGATCCTGGCGCATCTGGTCCTCCTCTCTGCTGGCCCGGCCCACGCGCCGCCCCGTAGCCCTTCCCTTATGTTAAAGTTATAACCACAAGATAGATTGACACCCTAAAAATAGTTCCCACACGTACCTGTCATTACCTCCCCTGGGCTGAACTAAATAAATAAGTTTGTTAATGGGAACTTGGGGTTCAGAAGACAGTAACATCTGGGTCCCTTGGTCCCCAACTTTCCTGTGTGCTTCTTTTTCTTTTATTTCTTTGGCCCAGATATCCTGCCATGCTGTTCCTGTTTGTGGGTAGCAACAGTCATGGGGCTTGAACTCAGGGCCTGTTGCTCAAGACTAGTGCTCTACCTCTTTGAGCCACAGCACTGCTTCCAGTTTTCTGGCAGTTAATTGGAGCTAAGAGTCTCATGGGCTTTCCTGCCAAAGCTATCTTTGAACCCTGACCCTCAGATCTCAGTCTCCTGAGTAGCTAGCCTTACAGGTATGAGCCACCAGCAACCATCCCTTCTTTCTTAAGTGTCTAAGAAGGGCATACTCCATTTAGAATTGGGAGTTATCTCTTTAGCAATGGGCACCTTTTTAATGGTTTACAGGACCATAACACCTGTTATTTTACCAAAGTAGATGTGTGAGGGATGTGAACAGTTCAGGTGAGTAAGAGCACAGAAACACAATACAGCAATGTTTACTGTGTTGAGACCCAAAAAGATGGCATATAGTTTGAGTTTTATTCCAAAAGTAGATGATATGGCTAAATCAAGTGACCTGGAGAGAAAAGAATTAAAGGAAGGCCCATGGCATGTACATGGAGATGATAAAACAGAAGCTCATCTAAGACCCTTGTATGATGCCAAGTCTCTACAATTGGTAAGTAGGTCAAGATGGATTCCCAGTGAAAACATCTATTTCCACTGTAAGGCCAAACCTGATAACCATTTTGCTCTAAGATAGTGGTTCCCACATCAGTCTACCCTGTAATTATACAATTGTTGCATCACAGTCAAGAAGATCTCAGTATGTACTGCCTTTGAGACTTGAACTGTGACAATTATACAATGCCTGGCAGGTGCTAAAGTGAATGTATTTTTTTCTCTTTGATTATTAACTATGATGTCTCTTGCTGAAATACCAGACAAATAAGAATTTCATAAAATTGAAGTATACTTTAGCACAGAAAAACCTTATCATCTGTTGTGCTCCTCTTTTGTCTAATGTAAGAACACACCAATGATTGGGTAAGTAACTCTTAACTGTAGCTTATGATGCATTTCTTTATTAATAGCTCCCTAGTGTCTAAGGATTCTTTGCCAGAAAACCTTTCCAGATTTTAAAAAGATCTACTCATATAAAGACCAAGCAATTTGGAATGTTTCACCCAAAACTGGAAATGATTGTGTCAAGAAAAAAAAATTACAGGTACTTGACTCTGGCTGGCATTGACACTAAGCTCCAACATTACAGAATACAATATTGATGCACCATAAATGCAAGAATTCCCATCTGGAGCAGTGTCTAATCACACCTCCATTCACTGAGCACAATGATTAAGCACCAAGTATGTACACACAAGACACTCTTACAGAACATGAGAGAAGGCAGAGAATAAAGAAAGCAGTTAAGAAATGGAAAAAAATGGGCTGGGAAGTTGGCTCAGTGGTAGAGTGCTTGCCTTGCATGCCTGAGGCCCTGGGTTCCATTCCTCAGCATCACATAAGCAAAAAGAAAAAAGCCGGAAGTGGCGCTGTGGCTCACGTGGTAGAGCGCTAGCCTTGAGCTGAAGAGCTGAGGGACATCGCCCAAGTCCAGAGTTCAGGCCCCACGACCGGACCCAAAAAAAAAAAAAAAAGAAAGAAAGAAATGGAAAAAAATCAAAGTCCTGGCCTTTGTGGAGTTCTCACTCTGCTTCTGGGATCAGCATACTGCAGCTGGTTACCTGTTCTCTATTTGAATGGTGTGATTGGAAAAGAATCATGCTCATTGGTTTATGTAGTGTCTGAAGATGTTTTTATGGTGCAAGGACAAAGTGTAATTGTAATGTAATATATGAACCAATAAGCTGAAAATATTTATGATCAGATTCTTTATAAAAGTCAACAGTCCACATTACCTTCTCTCCTCACCATCTGCTCTTCTGCCATCCCTCACAAGCTCTTCTCCACTTTTGTTTATTGCTTTACAACACTTGCATGTATCTCACTGCTATTATAATGTGAAATATTGCCAAGAACATTCCATAATGAGACCACTTCCTGCTGCTTCCTTCTGAGGACAAGCACCTCACTGAACATGAATTAATGAAATCAAACCATGTTACTTCCATTACATTTGAGTCGATA